GCAAAAACTACGACCTACCAAGTAAGATGTTCAACTCTAACTCTACTAGAACAATGAGACAAATGTATCAATTACAAACTGTAATTAAATACTCTCAAGTACTTCTACTGCTCCTATTTGATTCACAAGTAACTCTGACTTTAAAACATAACACTCACTCCAACTCACTAATTGTTTATGACACTTGATTATAACTCAATTTCCTAAAATACATTCACTAGACTAACTCGGGAAGAGTACGAGATAAGTACTCAATACACGTGAAACACTTTATGACTCTGTTGTTGATGTGTAAAAGGATAAATCAGAAGTCCAAAGTCAATCCTATTTAAACACGACTTGAGATCTTCTAGGAGTCATATTCATAGTCAGCTTCCTCTTTGATAGGACTCCTATTGTTCCAAGGTATCCACAAGCTTTGGGACTTTTGTCTCTGTCTGATTTATCCATATCTTCTTGAGCAACGACCCTTATCACTTACAACAGCCATCTTCCACCAAACTCGGACCTGGTAACTTTGAGATAAAGTTATTGTCTTATACATGCGTACAAGTATCAATCATGAGGAGATGATCCTTTAACCTGAGGTGCTGGTTCTTCACAACAGTTAAGCAGCTACATTGAGGACATGGTTCTCTGTGTAATTAGTCACACTTTGTTAATCATCAAAACTTCAATGCTCAACAAATTCTCCCTTTTTTATGATGACAAACTTTGCACACAGAACCAGTAATCAGATTCAAAGAACCAAATATATGTATGTTCACAACCCGCCTTATGTTCCCCCTTTTGCATCATCGAAAAAACAAAAACAGATGTTAGACATTAAGCACATAAAATGTAAGATTCAACGCCTATCAGGCGACAACACAAGCATAAGACAAGACAAATAAACTAGGCTGATGATCCAAAAGAGTACAAGCGGCAGAGTAATGGGAGACATTAAGTAGTGCCAAAAGAAGCCCAAGGCCTTGTCTTCATAATTAGAATAAAATAAACTAAGCATACCGCAGACGACTCAGACTAAGAAAGAAGAAACAAAAGATAAGACATCACTAGAAAAGCAAGAGAATTAAGGACACTGGAAAGGAACAGGTTCAAGGGTGAGAGGCAGAGGGGATCAAAGCTTTCACAAGGGTAGCAATCTGTTGAGCATGGACCTCCCTGTCTCTTCGGAGCTCTTCCGTGTGTTGCTTAGTTTCCTGTCTCAGTTCATTATTGTCTTCACAAAGCTTGGCATTCTCTTCAACAGCCAACTCCAACCTCTTGTTGAGTTCTGAAACCCTACCGCTCCCAAGAAGAATGGCAGATCATGTGGGTCATCTAGCCTTGATGTCCTCATAGCCATACTGCTTGAGGGTAACATATCCAAACATCACTGTGATTTCCAAACTTAAGCTCAGGTAAGGCAATGTTGAGCTTGTCAAATAACTCAGAAACATGAAACCATATGGCATAACATGCTTTGATTTGGAGGTATCTGCAGCTCTTGCCATGTGCTGAATCATCAGGCTAGGGAGATTGATAGGTTGACCAGTGTCAAGCAGTTCCATCACAACCATGTGTAGTAGAGTAGCTTCATGCCTTCTCTCCGATCTCTGAAGAATGCAGGAGTTGACAAACTGAAACAGAAGCTTGTGAAAAAGGGTCATATAAGTTTTGTACACTTTCTGGGGAGCATCTAGTTCAAACTTTTGGGAAAACTTCCTGGTGACCACAATGCTAGTGTCAACATCATTGTGTATGGCTGGCCACTGTTTCTTCAAATAGTTGTCAAATTCCAAAGAAGGGATATTCAGAAGTAGCCCCAGTTCCTCAGCATCAAACTCCATGTCAAAGCCCCCTACTTTACTCTTGACTACCTTCCCATCAAAAGTGAATTTTTGTAGAACTCCACCACATCAGGAACACATACTGGGGGGAAACCTTTGACAAATATGTGCTTCCACCCCAGTAGATCAAGTTTATCAACCAGTTGAGCCATTCCATTCCCATCAGTGTTCGCAAGAATCTTCCCATTTAGTACTTTTCTGTTCCTGAACTCTGTGAGTCGATCAACTGCAGCTGAAACCCTTACTGGCCCTTGCAGAAGAGGCAGCAGGTTTAGTGACTTTGGCTCCCCTTTTCTTTGGTGTTGCAGACTTTGCTGGCGAGGCTGAGCCAGATTCATCTTCTCCATCCACCTCAATAACAGGTTCCACAATTGAAACCTTTTTCTTTGGCTCTTTGCACTTCTGGACTCCTTCATGATTTGTACATCAACAACCTTTCTTTTACTCCTTGTGAGAGGAGTTCTAGCAGGAGGAACCACTCATTTCCTTATTGAAACTGTTGTCTTTGTAGCTTTTACAGTGGTCTTTCTGGACTTCTTCCCTACCTCAGATAGTGGCACATCATCTTCATCACTGCTATCTTCTTCATCTCCAGTGAAAGGAGCCAACAGAGACCCAGGTTCTTGAGCCCTTGTCTCTTCACCAATTTCTTCTGAAGGGGCTATGATAGTGTTTCCAATTGTCGTAGAACCTTCAGATTCCTCACTCGCATTCCCTTGTTCTTCCTCACTCTCGTCATCACCTTCTTCACTCTCACCTACCTTTTCATGATCCTCTTCCTCACTTTCAGAAACCTCCTCTTCTTCACTCAGGTTTTCTTCTTCTGCAGAATTATTAGCCTGTTCACCTGTCTTATCCTCTGTATCACTGTCCATCTCATCTCCAAATACTCCCTCATTCTCAGTCTTTCCTTCTTCATTGACTATCTTTTGAGCCTCATGTTCCTTATGACTGGTCATAGCTTCTTCTTCCTTTTGGAAAAAGTTTACTTTTTGATGCATACATCAAATTTTGTTAATTTAACTTTGAAAAATAAACCTAAATAGCTATCAACCCATGCTTAAACTAAAAGTAGACAACAAATGTATACTATATAGTATGTATACAAATTACGTATATTAACTAAATAAAAAAGTAAGCAATGAAATCAGCCAGTTATACGAACCAAGAACTCCATCCATGAGTCTATTTGCAGACGAGCCAGCCCAAGGCACGAAGTATGAGCTTGTAACAGTAAGCTACTCACCATTTTAAGCAACAAATGTTCACTATTCCCTAAAACCCTCGACCGTTTAGTTCTGTTTCAACCCTTTGGAGTTATTGTTTCTTTTGGCTAATGATTTAATTGTGAATTGACGACTACTTTCTATAAAGGCTCCTTAAGATATACGTTACTAATTGTTAGTACAACTCTTGTAGCATCCATAAGGACGAACTAATGAGTTTTCTGGCAATTAGTTGGCCCCACACCACACGTGCACGCAGTGCTGTTTATGGAGGTGGAGTAGTTTGTTAAGTGAGATGAAAGAAGTTTTAGGAATAAACATTTACTTCTCTTAGTAGGTTTACTTAGCACGAATAAAGATTAGTCGGATCAATATATAATTAAAGTGAAAAAGAAGAAGAAAAGAAAAGAAAAGAACAAGACAAAAGAATGTTGTCAAATTTGAATAACCACTTGGAGCAACAGTAAAGTTGTCTTTATAAACCACCAAAAGATGTGGTGCAGCGGGTGGGTTGCTCGAACTCTTACCTTAACCAGATGTCTCAGGTTCGAGTCCTGAGTATGGAAAAATCTTTGGTAGGGAGCGCTCCCGGCCCCCTTCCCTGAATAGAACCCTACGCCGCACGAATCCGGATATAGTCGGGCTTCAATGCGGGTACCAGATACCGCTTGGAAACAAAAAAAAAAGTTGTCTATGTATGAACTATAGGTCACGCGTTCGAATCGTGGAAGTAGCCATTAAAACTTGCATTATAGTGGGAGGGATATGGCTCTTCATTGTGAATGTGGTCTTATGCATCAAGCTGCACTTTTCTTACTTGTATTCAAATATTCCTCTTTCCCAATATTATTCAACGAACAAAATTTTTATCCCCATAAAAAATTGAAGGAGATATGCTACTCTGATAAAAAAAGTTTAGGAGGTAAACTTGAATTTAACCAAAGTTAAAAGTGAGTGAATTTTTTTTGACTTCTTATAATGATAGAAGTGATGGAAGAGTTTGAAAGGAATACAGTGTTTGAAAGCAGTCCACTTTCTTCGACCATGATCTCACCCTCCAATTAGCTTGGCCCTCTCTTTACCGTCTGATTGTTTTGTTTTAAATAGTATATTTTTACCTCCACTTGCTGCCAATTGCCAAAATGTCAAATTGCTACAGATTTGTCGTTACCCTTACTGATTGGTGTAACCGCTTATTCCTATTTGAGAAATTTGCACTTCTAGTCCTTTAATGATTGATAAATTTTAATTTGTTCCTCGAATAGTAAATATATTTAGTCTTTAATTCATGGATTTGATCGGTTTTTAGATAAAGTATGTCATGTTAAAACTATTACTAGCCTCTAAGTTCTCTCATTAACATTCAGTATAATGTATTGTTATGAGCTCTTGAGCTTGCAGTCAATATTTATTCATACGATAATGCTTTTGCAACAATTAACAATTATTATTATTGTGTAATGATAGAATTCCGGTTGGAAAAAATTATTTATGAAACAATCATAAATATAATATCTTTATCGATAAAAAAAAACGTGAGATATTAGATTGAAATGATATAATTACTGCTTTAATATTCTTTAGTAAGTGAAATGAGTGCATAAAATAAATCAATCATATACCTATTTGGGTAACGTTGATAGTTGGAATTAGATAATAAGCTATCTTTTGAGTATATTTATAAAAAGTTGTCAATAGAGTGATGTGAAATTATGATATATGGCTAATCCAATTGGTGCTATTTCATAGTATGATGAATCAAACCATCTCAAATATTTAAGTGAAGGGACCAAAAGTGAATATTCGAAGCAATTTCAGGTTAGATATGCTTACCTGGATTATCACGAGAGACAAAATTAAATCTTAAAAAATAACTAAAGGACTAAACTGCAATTGTCTTTTCCTATAAATAAGCACTCACCCCCAAGCACAATTTACACCGTCTCTTTCCATTTCTCTCTTAAAAAAAAAAACAAACAAGAAAAGAAATCAGAGTGACAAAAAGATGTGTGGAGGTGCCATAATCTCCGACTATGAACCCGTCGGGAACCGCTGCCGGAAAATCACTGCTCGTGACCTATGGGCTGAGCTTGACCCTATCTCCGACTTCTGGTCGTCCTCCTCCTCCTCCTCCATTGCCGGCAAAGCCGACTCCGCTCAGTCGCCGACTCACTCCTACAATAAGCTTAAGAAATCAGATTCCGGCAAACTTAATCAACTCGAAAAAGGTGCGATAATGCTCTTACATTCGACATCATAATATTTGTGTGACTATACCGTGACTTTAAATATGACATACTAGTGTAATAGGTGTGTGATTATAATAAAATTTAAAATTTAGTGTTCCTAATAAAAGAAATATGTTTATTAGCATGCTCTACACTCGCATATGTACGGTTTCTGTAAAAAAAAAAAAAGATTCTTTCGTTTGGAACTCCGGTAAACATTCAAGTTAACCATTTATTTAGCTTTTTTATTTTCAGCTTCTCTATATATTTGTTTAAAATTAATCCATGTCTAATTTCAGGTGATTTTGTACATTATTACCTTAAGTTTTATCAAATGAAATCTGTAAGAACTGCACGAGAGTAATATAATGATATTACAAATTTTTACAATTGAAAATATGTGAAAAATCGTATACAAATAAAAAGGTCAGTGTCATAAATGAGACAGCGGGCGTAAATCAAATGCTAGTATAATTTTTTCTTACAAGTAACGTTACTGGAATAAATAATTGAAAATTTGTTGGGATGAGAGTTTAAGTCATGACCTATAATTTTGTATACTACTAGTATTTGTACGTATTAGATTGGTATACGATTACCTACCAGCACAAGCATACACGATGTACACGAGAGTTTACTCCCTTGTTTAATCAGGGAGTATTTAAATTGCTGCAAAGATGTAATTTCTAAATTTATGTTCTTTAATTCCATAATAATACGAGTATCAACTGTTAATTGCGTTTGTCTGTTTGAACATGTGCTCTGTTTCTGATAAAAACAAGTCAAAAGTCCAAAATCAAACTAATATATTGAATTCTTGTAGTTTTCAATTCAATTGTCATGCTCAAACTTATCAAAACCGAACAAAAAGGAGAAGGAAAGAAAATCAGTCACTACCTACCTAATATATATGGACACACACACACATATATATAATTAATAACCCAAAAAAAAATCCTTTTGTGCAAATTAAAAAAAGTTGTAATCAATTTTCTAGAGTAATTATTTCTTTGCTTTTTAATTGCTTTTATTTCTTTAATTAATTCGTAAGTTTTTGGTTCAGTCAAACTTAATGTTTATATTTATTCTTTCGACATTTTGGTTTGAAGAAATTTTTTAATTATATATTTCGTGTAAATTTCTTTAAATTTCCTTAAATATTTCGTGTAAATTTTTTAGATAAGCGAAAATCATAAGAAGGTGAAGTTAAACATCAAAATTCAATTTTACCAAGATTTAAGATTCACGTTATTTTTGGAATGTATAGAACTAAATAACTAGTCTCGTTTTGCATGTATCCAATTGTGTAGGCCATTTCATGACAGACTTTGCATCCCAGTTCATGTCAAATAATCATATGAAACCACCAGTTAAGGGAGCAGAAGTTGGTCAATAATTTTAGTGATGTCAAATATATTCAAACAGTGCTATTTGTACATCATGACCCTTTACAATTTTGAATTTAAGAAATGACTTTTTTAGATCTTTTATGTGTAAAAAACAAATCTCTTATGTGTAAAAGCAAATTTATCATGGGTAAAGAAAGAGTTAGAGTCATAAAATTAAAAACAAGTTTGTAAAGAGCCAAAAAATTAATTACCCCTGTACTTGATTAATGTGTCTTTTTAAGACTCACAATTGAAGTAAGATAAAATCCAGGATGTGCTATAGTTTTGTAAAACCTTTTGCGGGAACGACCTTGATAAAGAACACAGGATGTGAAATGATGCGACAAAGAAAAGCTATCAATTATCATGGTTGTTGTGTCTATAAATAAGAATGTATTAATGAACAAATACTTATAAAAGAAAATGGCAGCCTGGTGCACTAAGCTCCGGCTATGCGCGGGATCCGGGGAAGGATCAGACCACAAGTGTTTATTGTACGCAACCTTATCCTGCATTTCTGCAAGAGATTGTTTTCACGGCTCGACCCTGTGACCTCCTGGTCTCATGGCAGCAATTTTATCAGTTACGCCAAGGCTCCCCTTCTTTATATAATGTTGTAAAAAATTGTAATGTAGTTATGTTACTACGGAGCTGGAAGTGACAAAATGTGATGTGCAGGTACGAGTATGAAGGTTGAGAAGGAGAGAAGTGGCCCAAGGCCAAGGAAGAACAAATACAGAGGAATAAGGCAGAGACCATGGGGAAAATGGGCTGCTGAGATACGTGATCCTCAGAAGGGCGTCCGTGTGTGGTTAGGTACATTCAACACGGCTGAAGAAGCTGCCAGGGCATATGATGAGGCTGCAAAGCGAATCCGTGGTGACAAGGCTAAGCTCAACTTTCCAGAGCCACCTTCCACCCCTTCGCCACCAGCCAAGCGACAATGCACTAGCACCATCCCTGATCAGCCCACACTCTTAGAGAGTTCTGACTTAATGTCTGAGAAACCAGCCTCAATGATGAACTTCGGATATGAAAACCAAACACCCTACTACCCCATGGAAATGGCCGCTGCTGAGGATCCTCAACATCATGATTATGAGCTCAATGAGCAGATTTCCAACTTGGAGTCATTCCTGGATTTGGAGCCAGACTCATCTCAGTTCTCAGGGATCGTCGATTCTGACCCCCTTAATATTTGTCTGATGGATGACTTTGCTGCAACTCAGCAGCAGGAGCAGCTGTTCTACTGAACAGAGTAAAAATTATCAGATACTAGTTACTTTCATCCTAAGTTGTTTGGTGTGTATTCTCTGATGAGTGGCTAGTTAGCTTTTGGTAGTACGTAGTACAATGCAGAAAGTACATACAATAATATGTTGCGTGCCTTTGCATGCAATTGTAATATTAATGTCATGTTGTCTCGTGCTCGTGCTGTTTGAAGGGGAGCCTTAGCCTTGGCGTAACTGGTAAAGTTGCTGTCATGTGACCAGGTCACGGGTTCGAGCCATAGAAACAATTTTTCTTGTAGAAATGCAAGGTAAAGCTGAGTACAATAAATCCTTGTGATCCGGCCCTTCTCCGGACCCCACACATGACGGCAGCTTAGCGCATCGAGCTGACTTTGTCTCGTGCTTTTTATGGTTTCTAAATCTTGGGTTAAGCTTATGATGTTTGGTGCATGCATTTTGATCTCTACTTTTGGACATTAAAAAAGGTTTATGAGCATTATGTTGTATTTAACATTATTCTGTCTCTATTAAGTAATAGTGCTTTATAGAAAGGAGATGGAGGACATTAGAGAGTAAAATAAAATACTATTACTTGTCGACGAATATACATTGAACCTCTTTAGAAACATCTATTATGGAAATAGGAGCTGATTGGGGAGTTGATTTTGTAATGGTCTGAATGCTTTTAAACAATATTAGAGCATTTTTTAAAAGCCGTCTTAAACGTTAATTTTTTCTGACGACATTTACAGGCAGCCCTAGATTATTCTAGCATCGACAAAAAGCATATAACTTCAACATATCTCAAGATCATGTCTCACCTCTCTTGTCAAATCATTAATATATAAATGTTGCAAAAGGTACAAATGTTACAGTAAAAATTTTTATTCCCACCATTCCTATTTATATCATATAAGTCTAATAATTTAAGAAAAAAGAAAAAAAAAAATAAAACTTGTGATCTTAAATGTATCATAATATTTGTGCGATTATAAATTTTTTGAAATTTATAATTTTAAACATGTTATAATATATGTGTGGCTATATAAATTAGTCATTAAAATTAAATAAGAAATATTTTAGTTAATCGAACTAATAAAGAAAAATAGAACCATATAATCATAAAAAATGGAATGGATGGAGTAGATTTTACCTAATTTTTCAATACCAATGTTTTACAAGAAGTTATTTCAGTCTATTTCGTCTTCCTGATGAATTATAGCCCCATTATTCTCGCATCAACCAATACACTCATACATTTATAAAATCCATACGTAATATCTTTCTTCAATGAAATTAATTTTCAAGGTATGTTGTGCTTCTTCTCCCCAATCATCTGAGGGAAAGTCCTACACTCGCTTGGAGAGCTAATAATTACATTAGTTTACCTAAAATTCTTAAATATTTGTCAACCTCTTTAATATTACAATTTTGTCCAATGTAGATATTATTTATACGGAAAAGGTTCCGAAATATCCCTCTATTATTAAAAATTATTTAAATTACCTTCCGCTATACTATTTGATCAGAAAAACCCTTACCGTCTTACTATTCAAACACATATACCCTTCTTTGACGGACTGGACACGTGGCACGTATCCAAATCTCTTGATATATCTGGTCTTAAATTAAACTCGCCCCGCCCCGTACCCAAGACCCAGATCCCATAACCCAACCCTCTTCTTCTTCCACCGTATCCCCTCCATTCCCTTATTCTTCCACCACCACCTCCCCCTACAGTCGTCGCTGTGGCAATATTTTAAAGCCTCTTTGGACAAGTGTTTTAGGCCTTCTAGAAGGCTAAGATTAGTGGCAAAAGAAGACTAAAAAGTGGCAAATGTTCAGCCACGTTTTTGCCATGCAAAAGCCAAGTTTCATGCAACTTCAACTATAAAAAGGCTCTCACTTGACAAGAAAAAATCATCAGCAAAAACAAGCATCATTCCTCTCTTTCCTTTCTCTCCTCCTCTTTTTTTGAAGTCCATATATATATT